AAATAATAGGACAAATATTATAAGGAGTGAATTGCAGATCTAAAGTTAATCTGTTGCCACATCTGGTAGATTCTGATTTCAATAGCAGTTTCAGAATCTAAAACTTCCATTGAAAAATATCTATTTCTATTTCTACAATTAACCATTATATTATTATTATTATTATTATCGCCATTTATATAGCACTTTACAATATTATGAGAGGGGGGATCTGTCAGAAGTGCTGATTATACTAAATTTTGTTTGTGTGTGTGTTTTTTTTTTGTTTGCTTGTTTTTATGGGGAATTTCATAAACCATGTGGGACCTTCTGCTATAATATAATAAACAAAATTTGTATTCTGCTTCTGCTCTCAGGTATGGCAGTATTCCCCATGGAAAACTTTGGCAGGTTTTTGAGAAGTTAGTCTAATTACAGCCACACCAATTTCAGTTTTAAAATGTTCACTGGTTGATGTATGTGACGTATCATTTTTGGAATAAAATAGCAGCCCCCACCTACCCCACCATTGCAACCCATATGCAAAAGGAAACAACTTGGCTATTGTGAGTCTTTTTACGATGTTGTTTCATGATTCATTTTTGACAGATTTCCTGTTAAAGGGTTATGACAAGCACCATGATCACTTCAGTAATTTTAAGTGGTCATGGTGCCTGGAGTCTGTATTTGCAGCCTTACTCTGCACGTACAGAGATTTACCCCTTTGCTGTCGGATGTGTAACTCCACCTCCAGTAGCATCATTACCCAGGCCAGAACAAGTTTTAGTGTTTTTTATTTTTTTAAACTCAATATTGGTGAGATGTTCCTAACTAAAACCTTGTACAGCAAATACTTCACATATACTGTATATTCCTTTGCCAAGTGTTTGGAAAATGTACAGGGTCAGTTTATACAATTTACAGGTCAAATTGGAGACATGCCCTAATTTTGACACTCTTTGCTTGCTTCTCGGAGACACTATGTTGTGAAGTGACTTAATTGGTATGATCATACTGACAAGCAACAGTCTTTGATGCCACTTTAACACCAAATGATCCTTTTACAAGCTAACCCTTGTTAACCATCATATCAAACCCAAACTGTAGCTAAACATAATCATAGCTAATTTTAGCCCCCAGCTTGGCCTAATACTAGCTAATCTTAACCTTCATGAACTGTCCATAGCTTTGTCTAACGCTAACGCTATCTAAAACTTCCTAACCATAACCCTGTTTAACAGTAACATTAATCTGTAGCCCTATTTATCACTTATCCGAACTCTATTTAACTGTATCTAACTATTTACCTTTCTACCTTAACTATGCTAACTGTACTCTGTTTAGTAGATTGGCCCCAGGTTGAAAAAAATGGCATAAAAATGGCTCCCAAGTAGATCAGTTAGCCTGGAGCCTACTCAAAAACAATAGCTGAATTGTCTCAGTAGTGTACTGGGATACTTTGCTGAAACCAATGGTTTTGAAGGCAAAAATATATCCAACCAGTTTGGCACAGAATGGTTGACTGAAATTGTATTGAGTGAAAAAGCCTTACAAAGCTTTTTGCCGCCGTGTTGAGCTCAGTCTATGTGGAACACTCAAAGGGGTTAAAACTATTAATTTTATTGAGGTGTGTATTTTATTTACTCATCATTTCTTTTTGCGATCTATATAGTTTAAAAACTTTTTGGAGATGAAGTAAAAAAGATTTAAGAAGATAAAGACATTTTATGGTAATTATAATTTTTTTTTACAAGTATTAGATTATATGCCCCTCACTATTATTAGGGCTAGTGGTATGTAGGATATTATTTTGGGCATGGCCATCCATTCTTCTATATTTAATCAGAGCCCCCACCTACTGCAATTAGGCAGGGGCTGGAGCGTTACATCCCCTTATTTATTTATCTTCTAAAGCCACCATCCACTGGCCATGCATGGGGGCCTGGAGAGATACTTTGTCCCCCCCTCACTTTATTATTTAATTATAGCTCCACCATGACGTAGGGTGGACACTGATCTGTCCACCCTCCATTCTTTATTTTACAGCCCTCAGCTCCTCCCTGTATATTAATCATGACTGGGAAGCAATAGCTGAGATCTTTTGATCTCCATGCTGGCTCAAAAAGGTCCCTCTCAGCCAGAGCCAGTGTACCAGGCCCAGACAGTGGCACAGAGTGTCCCAGTTGGAACCCTGGATCTTGGCAACCGATTGTGCCATTTTATGGGTAATCCAACTCTGGTGAATGAGCTTGCTGTATGATGAAACTTATGTTTGATTGGCTAAAACAGACCATAAAAGAGATTAGTGGTTTCTGAAACTATCTCAAATAAAAACAGGTTAAAAGAATATATATTATTTACTAACGATATCAGCACCAATAGTATATTATATGACTTTATCAAGAGACTAACAATAGTACTGATGGTTTTCTTTCACACAATAAAACAAACATACTTTAAAAAGGTTTGTAAATACAAAATAAATCTAAAGTTGAATACTAGACTTTTCTATTAAGTCTTGCTGGGGTAAAATATGTGTCTGCACTGCACACATTTATAATTTGATATGGGTTTAGTGGAGGTAAATCTATAGCCCGTTTACTATTGCATTGATTCTAGTCTGACCCAGAAATGGTCATTAGCTACAGGCAATTATTCAAGGTCTACATGCCTGCAAAATTACAACCCGAAACTTACAGGCCAAGGTCACTGGAGTGCTGAATGCTGCAATAGCATTTATCTGAATTTCATGACCATAGTGTGTGTCTAGTTTATTTGCCATTATCAGGAAATACAGATTAAGCATTAAGTAATTCAATACCCGCACATTTCACAAATAAACAGAAATGACTGTAAAGGAACAAATGGCAGTATCTTTTTCCCCAACCAAATCCTCGTGGTCATATTATATGTCCCTGCAGGTAAAAGTAGCCAGGATAAAGGAATGCAATCATTTAACTTTTAACCCATTCATACCTGGAATGGGCACCTTCAGACAAAGAAAATAAATACAAGACTGACTTGTTTATGCAAATTTTTGTTTAAAAATGACAACTTACTTCAGTTCAATTATAACACGTATCTTCTTAGCCAAGTGTGCCCATTAATCCAATACGATATAAGCTGTGATGCTGTGTGTGTAGTCTCTCCAGCATGTGTAGTATAATGAAAGAAATCCTAGCTGGGCCCCTTAATGCTGCCCCCACCTCTTCTGTGATGACATGTTCCAGAGAAAGACAGTAATAGTGATAATAATTAATTCATACCCGGAAAAGCACTGCATGTATGCAGACCATTGCATATGGGTCTGATAATAGTTCTGTTACAGCTCGGCTCAGCTCCTCCTGCCGTTAGAAGGCAGACTGCAACATCATGCATTACAGGTCTCTCCAAATCAGGATCTGCAGAGGCCTATTATGATGAACATCTGAGGTCTAGAATAAATAGGGGGTTAAATAGAATCTAATGTAACCACTTCCTTTCACTCGTTCCTCAAAGACACAGACGCGCCACTCTGTTTTCTGTTAGCTCTAGGCAGAATGATTGTTGTAAAATAGAAAACCACAATGTTTAAATGTGTGCCACATGAACAGCTGTTTGCATATATATATATATATATACACACACACACACACACAAGACAGGTTGATACGAATGATACAATATACATAATTAATTTAAATAAATGTAGGACCCACCAATATTGTTGTACGTGACGTAGTGGTAGGCGTAACACGATATGGCCCATGTGGTGTAACTGAATCCCCATATTGGTTTGCTGAGATAGGAGATTTTAAGTAGTCTTGTAAAATGTAATTATTGAAAGAAAATTGTGTGTGCGGTGTTCCTTAATCTGTATTTTGTTTAAATTTTGGTCTTCATGGTGACACCACTACTGAGTAATGCATGTTACTGATTTTTCACACAATTCATTATTTACAGTGCTCTGCCTTAAACAAGCATAAGGATTTATAGAGTGTTATATCCCCCCAAAACATCAAAGGACCGCATTATATTTAGATCACTTAATATGCATCTACATAGATATTTTGTCTATGGAACTATTTACAGTTGTAACTGTTCCATGTGGTACTGCTGCTGAAACTAATTGATTCAAAACACAAAATGCATGGTGTAATTTCACAAATTCATCACTTAAAGCTGCTCTGTCACCCACCAGGGCATAAATGCCACCATTTCAAATGTAAAAAGAGGGAGACTTTAATTTAGGGGTGTGAGTGGAGGTATTCAGAGAAATTGTAGGTGACTTACTAATAATAAATTATGCGACTAAAATGCAATTTAGGACAAGAACAATGTATCTTATTTACACAGACTGATTTCTTAACACATTTATTGTAGTTTAAAGGTTCCTTACCATATTATGTGCAGCACAGATGAATTGTACATACTTGATGCTGTGCCCCACAGGTACTGTCATCTTCGATATTCACCTCCTGTAACTTCATGTCAGCCCATGTCAGTAGCCAACAACACTAATGTCTATGGAACATACTGTGGGAGCCCTCAAAGATATTGTCTGGCGATTAGCGAGATAATGCCTTATTCCCACAGCTGTCGCAGAACAGGGCTGGGGGAATATATAGAATTTGATGGCAGAAGTTTTGTCAAGTTTTGTTAACTTGAGGCTTCACTAAATTTTAAACTAATCCCTACATTTAGGGCAGTTTTCGGAAATGCAGAGACGCATTATAAGGATATAAAATTATAAAGACTCCTAAAATCTTGGGTTAATATGTCCCTTAACAACCAGGGAGTATACAGGAAACTATATGGTTATGTTTATAGGCAAAAATGATATTCTGATACATTTGTATGCAATGACATGGTGAGCAATTTGCTAGTAAATTGTTAAATGCAGAGTAGAGCACTGTATTAAAAAGCTGTGGTATTCAGCTTATCAGCGATATGCATCATTCTGGTAGTGATAATGAAAGCGTTAACAACAGATGTGCAATAAAAAAAAGAATACAATTTGGTTTATGCAGGTGCATTGAACCGTTAAAGTTTGCAGTATGCTGGCTAGATCAGGATATTTGCTATAAGCAGTCGCAGCATTAACTTATAAAAACTGAGCAATACTGATGCCCAACTACACTTGGATTCAAAGGTGAAGCCAGAATTATAGCAATTATGGTTTTTGTACAAGTTTTCCCTACCTTCCCGATTTCAGGGGATTAGTCCTAATTTTTGCGTTCTATCCCACCATCCCAACTTAGTTCCCTGATGTCCTGCTTTTGGAGATACCGGATAACTGTCCCTGGCAAGCATAGCGTAAGTGCGTCATTATACACTCAGGGCATTGGAATCTTGCAGACAGCACTGAAACAGTGCTCCCTGCAGAGTCTTCCCTCAGTGGGATGGCCTTACATGATGGACAGGCAGCCTGATGTGCATTAATGCCTGGATGACCTGCCAGTAATTTGAGTTTACCCTCCCCCTTTGGGTAAAGTCAGTGACATGATAGGGTCACTGGCCCGCCATTTACACCCCTCCCATCAGCATTCCATTTCACGTGATGCCGTAGATGGGAGGTATGCTGTGGTAGACAGGGCTTTGTATCCATGCAAACAGGTGGCCAGGCTGCTTGAATAAAGTGTTATGAAAGGTTTTTGCAGTGCAGTATTTCACAGGTTGGAGTATAAATGTGTTAAGAATTTTATTAAAGGACCACTATAGTCACCCAGACCACTTTAGGTCTGGGTGCCAGGCTTACATTGCAGGGTTAATCTAGCCTCTAGTAACCCCTTCAGTCCAGTGGTAAGGGTTATATAGTGTCAGGAAAACGAGTTTGTTTTCCTGACACTATAGTGATCCTTTAAGAAAATGGTGTTAGCGATAGATCATCTTAAGGAGTTCAGCTAGATAGAGTAGTGTGTCTTACAAGAGAGAGTTTTCTTCAAGAGAGAGAAAGGGGCATTGACATTTAGGTTGATTTATCATTTATCATTAGTGGCTGATGAATAGTTAAATGATAATTTTGACAAATAATACTTTTTTTCCTGTCTTTCTCTTTTGATAATGTACTAAAAAGGGAAAGAGTGTGTGGAATAAATGATCTCCTAGTGGAAGTTGAGTTTACGTTTGTCTTCTTCCAGTACACCTCAATGGATTTAGATAGCTGGGTTTTCCATTTGAGGGGGTATTATACATACAAACTTAAGCCCTGTGCTTGGACGGCAGAAATATTTATAGTACACATCAGCCCCAATACATAATAATAAAAACCAAAGAAAAAAGCTGCTTGAGCACTATCCCAAATCCCTATGCACATTTAAATAACTGGAGGTTGTTTAGTATCACTCTAATGGTCATTCAAGTGTAAGCTCATCTGCCTAGTCAAGGCAAAACCTCTTAGGTAAGGTAACTGATGCATGTAGCATTTCATAATGTGCTAACATGCCACTATGACAATGTGGTATTCCTATTAAGTGAATTATTACCTTTATTTTATATATGTATATAACTATAACACTTCGGTTAAAGAATACATACATTGCCCACATATTCTGAACAATATTGTGTTTCATTCCATCCATGAATCCGTAATGAATATTAGGTTGTCATGAAGACCAACACAAAACCATGGGAGTGACATTCCTCACATTTTTCAATCAACATAAAACAAATTAAAGTAATGCTGAGCAACGAATGCATGCACCATGAACATTAACAAATCTTTCTTCTAAGTAGGGTAAATCAAAAACATTTTAGCCATCTCTAAAGAGAGAATTCAAAGTGAATTTCAATTGTAAGGCCAGAGGAGCTTAACTGAAAGCACAACTGGCTTAGAGAATTTTTACAGTCTGACTATTTGACCTTAAAGTCACTTTGAATTCTCACCCTGTAAATCAGTGTGTTACTGTGCTGGTTAGCCCCCTAAACTCCATTGAAATATGTATATACAACGATCAGCCACAACATTAAAACCACTGAAAGGAGATGTGAATAACATTGATTATATTGTTACAATGGCACCTGTCAAGAGGTAGGATATATTAGGCAGCTAGTGAACAGTCAGTTCTTGAATTTTATGTTATGGTAGCAGGAAAAATGAGCAAGCGAAAAGATTTACATGACTTTGACAAGTGCCAAACAGTGCTGGTTAGATAACTGTGTCAGAGCATCTCCAAAATAGAAAGTCTTGTGGGGTGTTCCTGGTATGCAATAGTTAGTACCTACCAAAAGTAGTGCAAGAAAAGACAACTGGTAAAATGGCATCAGGAGCGAAGGCTAGCCTGTCTGGTCTGAACGCTCAGAAGAACTGGCCATGCAATTTGCTGCGTATGGGGTAGTGTAGAACGGTCAAAGTGCCATTAATGTTCACTGCCGAAAGTGACTTCAATGGGAACATAAACGTCAGAACTGGATCATGGACCAATGGAAGAAGGTTGCCTGGTGTGACTAATCACATATCATGAATCACTATCTCCCATGCGCCCCTGCTGGCTGCCACACTTTTCTCCTGACCTCTCCAGGAATTATCTTAATTTTAACCTCCTTACAGTCATAATCCATCACAAATATTTTAAGGACCAATATCGACTCCACATATCACACAACTGGATTTACCAAAATTGTACGAATGGCATTACTAAACTGAAATACACAATATACTTCCACTGGACCATCTTACTACCAGGAAGAGATACCTTCAGCTGAACACCACAAACAAGGTACATTTAAACAAAAAAAAAAACGACTCTCCTCTATTTGTATAATGGGTTTTGGATTTGATCATCCATTCAGCAATGCTCAGATTTCATTTCTAAACACCAAGAAAACTAATTGATGAAAACTATTTCACTAAAACACATTGGTTTTTGAACTCCTGTAATCTGACCTGCATGCATGCTTTCTTATCTGTTATCTTCAATGCAGACTGAAGTGCAAAATCTCGCACCTCACTCACTGCACTCAATTCATCGCTAGTGGCTACCCTAAAATCGCTTGGCATCTTCAAAGGGCCTGATAGGAGCTGTCGTGGAAGAAAATCAAAACTTAAAGCTCAATCTAATTACACTATCACAGCTGCTCCACAACCCTGTCTACCTGCAAGCCCAATTGAAGTGATTCAAACTAGAAGCCACAAAAACCACAAATCAAGGAAACCTCTTTATGCGATCCACATTAGAAGACACACTCAGAGTCCCAAGACTGTCCTAGCAGATCAATCCTGTGCTATGCCAGATCAATAAGGAACAAAACAGCAATTATTGCCGACCTTATTGCAACATGCTAATTAACGTGCATTAATGAATCATGGCTAGATGAAAATGCAGGGCCTATTCTAGAGGCAGCTATTCCAGGCAATTACACAATGTTCCACCACCCAGGACAAGATCGCAATAGAGGTGGAGTTAGGATCTGTGCGAAATCTTCCTTAAATCACAGACCAATATCAGTCCACAAACCACAATCTTTTGAATGTGTAGCTGCCAACATCTCAATAGATAGAGGATTCTGGATACTGTTAATATACAGACCCCCAGGAGATGGGAAGAGATTTTTTCTGGAACGCTCAAACCTTTTGGTCCTTGATACTTGAACATCCCAGATAGCTTTTATTGGGAGACTTCAACATTTGGATTGATGACACCCTATCCCTGCTTTGGCATGATGTCCTCTGCTTTATGAGTGCACTCGGCTTCACACAAATCATCGCCACTTCCACCCACAGAAAAGGTCATACACCTGATCTAGGGTTCCAGTCTGGACTAGAAGTGTCACCAGTAACTGTAAATCCAGTTGTTTGGTCAGACCAGCACTCTATTCACTTCTCCATTGTATCACAATTAGCCAGACCCCAGCCTCAGAACCTGGTCAAACACCGCTCATTAAAGGGGTGACACCATTGGATGTAATATCACATATGGATCTTAATGAACTAATGGGCACCTGTAAAGACCCCAGCTCCTTAGTCTGACTCTACAACAAAACCATGAGAGACACCCTAGAAAGCATTGCACCATATGCACTGTCAAAAGCCACAACCATGCACCGTGGTTTGATAGCACCATCAGAGAAATGAAGAGAACAGGCCGTAAACTCGAGAGGACACATGATCCAGAAGATAAAGCCACTCTTACCAAACATCTAAATGAATATCAATTCAAGATAAATACTTATTTTTATCACACAAAATTGCACTCTCCCACAATAGGCCCAGGCAACTGTTTTGCACAGTAGAAAGATTCTGCATATCCCCACCAACTTTTCTAAGGATAAGTGTGAAGCATTTGCGATCTTGTTCAGAGACAAGATTTCCTCAATCCAAGCAGGCTAAACAGTTACAAACCAGAACCACTACAATGGAATGCCAGATTGCCCCAGTTTATGGTCCACTTTTACAAATGTGATTATAAAGGAAGTTAAGAGAACCATGCAAAAGTTACACCCTACTACGTGTGACTTAGACCCTGCTCCAACTCAGCTTATATCTGCATGCATTGAAACACTCACCCCAGCCCTCACAAAAATAGTGCAATGTTCACTAAAAACTGGAGACTTCCCAGATCCTCTAAAAGAATCTGTGGTAAAACCACTCCTTTATAAACCTTTATTACACACAGACTGCATGGCTAATTATAGACCAGTACCCAACCTTCCATTTCTGGGGAAAATAATTTAAAAAGTAGTGGCAACTCAACTGGAGACCCATCTATCAAGCTTGAACATCTTTGATCCTTTCCAGTCAGGTTTCAGATGCCGCCACAGCACTGAAACAGCACTAGTCTGAGTGCTAAATGATCTTATTGCGAGAGACAAAGGTGATTACTCCATCCTAATTCTCTCTCAGCTGCCTTTGACACCATTGACCATAGGATTTTAATAGAGCACTTGCAGCACATGTGGTCTAGGAGGCACAATCCTTAATTGGTTTAAATCTTTCCTCACTGGTAGATCACAGAGAGTAACATCAGGATCAAGCTCATCTGCACCAACAGAACTGTCCTGCAGAGTTCCACAAGGATCCATCTTGTCTCCAGTGCTATTCGCAATTTACTTGCTACCACTGGGGAAAATCATTAAGTGACATGGCCTAAGGCATCATTGTTACACTGATGACACACAACTCTACTTCTCCTTTGCTCCAGATACCACAGACCCAACATGCCACATTAACTGTTGCTTATCAGACCTCATAGAATGGATGAATGCAAGTTGGCTTAAAGTGAACCCGGACAAAACAGAGTTACTCTTGGTGAGGGGACCCCGAGCAACAAAAATATCCTATAATCACCCAAA